TGCCTGGTAGTGTAAAAAGACCAGTGGGCTTACTCATGCTCTGTGGTAGCTCCATCTGGTAATGGACATGTAAATTAAGCATCCTGGGCCTTACTTTTCTCATATGTAAGTATGGAGGATGGACTAGATGATCGATCTCTAAAGTCCTCTCTCTAGCTGAAATCAGTTTGGCTCAGTGGATAGAGCGTCGGCCTGTGGACTGAAAGGTTCCGGGTTCGACCTTGGTTGCGGGCACATCCCCAGTATTGGCTGTGCAAGAGGCAGCTGATCGATGATTCTCTCTTCATCGATGATTCCAACTCTCTATCCCTCTCTCTTCCTCTCTGTAAAAAATCAATAAAATATATATTTTAAAAAAAATAAAGTCCTCTCTCTAGCTAGAAAGTGCACTGGTCGATCCCTAGGCTTTTACACCATGCCCTCTCAGGGAGCAATGCTGTGTAAGGAAAAACTAGTAAGCTCTCTTGGGAGACCAGAGACCAGAGTTCTAACCCCAGTGTTGCCGGTTATTAACTCACTGTGTGATCTTGGGCAAGTCACTTCATCCCTGGGGGCACCTCACTTTCTTCATACCTAGAATTTTGATGTTATTATGTCTCCCTTATGCTGTCCACTCCTTAGCATATGCTTGCCTCCCCTAAGTCCTCTTCTTTATCTGGAATCACCCAACTGGCACATCTTAAGATCTTAGAGAGATGGAGGAGGTGGGGTTCAAACACATGTGTCTGATTGCAAAGCCAGTGCTCTCCCACTATAGAAATGTGAAGAGAGCATGGATAAAACTTAAAATCAAAAGACCTCAGTTCCATCCATGATAAGGGGATGACCTCCTCTACCTCCTAGCATAGTCGGAGGCTAAATGAAATAATGTGTGGACACAAAGAAGCACGGGACAAACCTTAGTTAATAATCATGTGCTATGACTTGGTGGCCTAAGCCTGTTTTTCCCCTCATTTGAAAGGAGAACAGAAGGCACAAGTTGTAATACCGTAGGGATATTATGGTTCCACTTCTTAGACTTTTATCCTACAACAGCTCAGCCTCTCCCTTCTTGACCATACCTGATCTATCCTTCCCGACTCTTTACCTAGAGCTTCCAGGCCACCCAACACAGAGCCCAGAGTGCTCTCCCTTGAGAAGTTGTGGAGGGGGGTTCAGAGTCCTAACTCTGACACTTACCTGCTGTGCAACCCTGGGCTGATCATGTAAACTCTGAATCTCAGGGTCCACATTTATAAAAAGGGAATAAGACTGACCAACCCTATAGTTCTCAAAAAATGTTTACTACCCTGTTTCCCCGAAAATAAGACAGTGTCTTATATTAATTTTTTCTCCCAAAGTTGCGCTAGGTCTTATTTTCAGGGGATGTCTTGTCTTTCCATGCGCTAGGTCTTATTTTCGGAGGATGTCTTATTTTCGGGGAAACACGGTACTATTATAACTGTCATGCCTCCTCTCTCCTCTGAACACTTCTAACCCTTGTAGTCTTTTCATTTACTTTAGTACTTGCAGTCTCATGATCCAAGTTGTTGTGCTAAGCCTGTACTTTATACTTCTCTCCCACTGGAATGTCAACACATGACAAGCGTTCAAAGAGAACCTGTTCTATGACTGGGCGATGGGGCCTCTGTGAGGCAGAATCAGTGAGGGTCATCACCGGTGATCACCCACCAAGCCTCAGGCGCCATGTAGCAGCCCACTCTGGCTCCTCTGTGCAAATTACTGGGGTGGAGGATATGGGGCAAATGGAAGTTCTCCTTTAAAAGCAGTCAGTGTGAGGTAATGAAGGCAGATTCACACTCTGGAAAAGTCAGACTCACAAAAGAAAAAAAAACCCAGAAGCCTAACCAGTGTGGCTCAGTAGTTGAACATTGACCTATGAACCAGCAGGTCACAGTTCGATTCTGGATCAGGGCAATGCCGGGTTTGCAGGCACACCAATAGGGGGTGTGCAGGAGGCGGCTGATTGATGATTCACCCTCATTACTGATGTTTCTGCCTCTCTCTCCCTATCTCTTCCTCTCTGTGAAATCAATAAAAATATATTAAAAAAAAAAAAAAATAGGAGAGACAGAGAAAGCCCAGGAAAACCATGGAACCAGAGTGAGTGAATAAGGGCTTCTGAGTCTAACAGATTTGGATTCTATCCTTATTAGAATCTGACCTTGGAACTATTATTTAACTTGTTATACTCTCAGTTTTCTAATCAGGACAATAATGTTTCCCAGGCAGGATTATTGTGAGGGTTAAAAAAATACAGCACAGTGCACCTTACAGCATCTTCCACATAATAGGACTCAATCAATGGCAGCAACTATATTGTCATGAGTATATTAATCATAGATGGGTTATGTCTATGGGCCCTCTGATGCCAATAGATGAATACCAAGAACCAGTGACTTATGGCTCTCTATAGCAACGGAGTTCTGGATGGAGAAAGTTCTCTATTTTTAATTTTAATTTTTATTGATTATGTTATCACATAATTGTCCTCATCACCCCATTCCCATCCCAAACCCCTCCCCACATATGCTCCCACCCCCCTGTTGTCCATGGCCACTGGCTAAGCTCATATACATGCACACAAGTCCTTTGGTTGGTCTCTTCCCCCTTTCCCCCTCCCTCCCCTACTTTCCCTCTGAGGTTTGAGAGTCTGATCGCTGCTTCTCTTTCTCTGGGTCTGTTTCTGTTCATCAGTTTATGTTGTTCATTATTTCCTCTAGATGTGTGAGATCATGTGAGAGTAAGTTCTCTGATGGAATCCTAATTAGATTTGGAAACTCCATGGAAGGAAAAGAGGTAACTTTGTATAGATCACAGGCCTTAGATCAGATACATGTAGGTGTCTCCCCCCCACCCCCCCCTCCCACCCCCGAAGACTACACTCCATAGCTTTCTAGCTGTGTGCTCTTTCGGCCAGTGATTCTCATAGAACCTGATTTCTCATCTGTGTTAGACTATAAGTCCATATGTTATTTCTCCTGAAAAGCATAGGTGCTAGAGGCTTCAAACATGGGTTAAATCCCATCTATGCCACCTAGCCAGTTTGGCGCAATGGATAGGATGTCGGCCTGCAGATCTACGGGACCAGGTTCGATTCTAGTCAAGGGCACATGCCTGGGTTGTGGGCTTGAACCCTAGTTGGGGGCATACAGGAGGCAGCCAATAAATGTTCTCTCTCATCATTGATGTGTTTCTCTCTCCCTCTCTGAAATTATATATATAACTATTATACTATTATCCTAAAATTTAAAAAATCCAACAGAAATCTTGGAAGGGTTTTAAGTGTGATCATAACACTTTCCCAAAGCGGGCACCTTTGTTCAATATGAAATATTAATGTGGTGTATATAATAAGCTCTAGGTACAACTCAACTTATAAATAATTCAGGTGTGTAGACATTTAAAACCTACTGAAATAACATTTATTCCACCAAGAAAAATACTAAAGTAACATGAGAGTCAATTCCAGATCTATCGATATTAAAAACTTAAATGTGAAAGACAAAACTCTAAAACTTTTAGAAGAAAATATAAACAAATGTATTTAGGATCACAGGTTAAGAAAGGATTTCTTCAACAAAATATAAAAGGTGTGAATCATAGAAGACTCAACTACATTAAAATTAAGAAATTCTAGTAATCAAAAGACACTACTGTATAAAAAAGAGAAAAGAAATTACAAAATGAGAGCCTATATCTGTAACATATGTAAACAAAAGATTAGTATTCAGAATACATAAAGAATTCCTACAAATCCTTAAGAAAAAAAATCAAAAGAAAATAGAGCAATGACTTGAATAGATATTTTACAAAAGAGGAAACATGAATGGTCAATAGGTGTAAGAAAAGATTCTCAGTCCCACTTGTACTCTTGAGAAATGCAAAACCAAAACAACAAGATACCATCTCACATCCACCAGCTCTATAAAAAATTTAAAGTATGACCATATCAAGTATTAAAGATATAAAGCAACGAAAACTCATGTGCTGCTGGTGGCAGCATTTATTCTTAAAAACACATAGAAAAACAATCAAGCATTACCTTCCATCAAGCAATGTGTGACTCCTGAGTATATACCTTTCAGCAATGACGCTCAAAGTGTGGTCACAGGACCTGCAACAGCATCACCTGGGAACTCTCTATAAATGCAAACTCTCAGGGCCTCATCCCAGACGTACAGAATCTAACACCACGGGGGGTGGAGCTCAGCAAAGTGTGGTCTAACATGCACATTGGTAATTCTAATGGGTAGCTAAACTCTTTGAAACCACTGCCCTGGAGAAACTCTTAAACATGTGCATGTGCAGGAGACACCAGCAAAATGTTCAAAACCGCATTGTTTGAAGTAGCGAAAACAGGGGAAGGACCCAAATAACCACTGACAGTAGAGTGGATACACAACTTGAGACACATCATACAAAGGGATATGAAAATGAATGAACTACAGGTGTACACAAAGCATCAATAGATCTCACAATGTTGAATGAAAAAAGCAAACTGAAATGTATACATGAAGTATAATACTTAATGAAGTTTAAAAGCATGCAGAATGAATATATGTATATAGCAAAACTATTTTTTAAAATTTATTTTTAAAATTGATTTCAGAAAGGAAGGGAGAGGGAGAGAGAGAAACATCAGCGATAAGAATAATTGATCGGCTGCCTCCTGCAAGCCCCTACTGGGGATTGAGTCCATAACCCAGGCATGTGTCTCAAATGGAGGACCCTTCAGTCCGCAGGCTGTAACTCTATCCTCTGAGCCAAACCAGCTACAGCGCATAACTTTTTTGAAAAAGGCAAAGAAATTATAAACACCAATCTCAAGAGAATAAGTAGGGGTGACTGTGTTTGGAGAGGGACACACAGGGGAATTCGTAGATGTCTGATTTTTTAAACTGGGTATTGAATTTACAGGTGATCCTTTTTCTATTTTTGAACTTTACATATGCATTAGACATTCCTTATTGTATATATGGTAAATCTCTTTTTTTAAAAAGTGTGCTGGAACAGTGTAATACTCAAGAGCTAGAATGCAACCACAAACTCTGGCTACCTGTATGGTGTCCAAAGGGTTAAGCTTGTTCCTCTGCCTGTGGGTGGGAGGGCAGGCGGCAGCTGGGGCACAGTGGGAGTCCCTGGCTCCAGCTGGCTTCAGCCAGGATCTGCCAGGATCAAGCACCACGCCCAGGAACTGGCACCTGGGGGGAGGGGGGAAGGCTATAGACAGGTGGCACCTGAGGCCCTCGGTGACCTGATACATGAGGGATTGGGCCCAGTCAGATGGATGGTGCCTCCTCCTGTCGGAACCCTCCATCTGGTAAGGAAGTGTCCTAGTGGCAGCTTGGAGCTGGTGAGAGGGGAAGAGGGTCTGGGACTCAGGGAGGAGGTGGGGAAGGAACTGGGTGGGCTGGGCTCAGATACCAAGGGAGGCTGTTAGGATTAGCACCTGCTGAGAATGAGATTAGGTTTCCTGGGAAGAGCTCATCTATTTAATGTCCCCCCAAAGCTGTCTCCCTGTGGCTTTTCTCTGCTGGACAGATGGTGTCTGAGCTGCACCTTGGAGGGTGGGTTCCTTGAGGGAGTGGTTGAGGCGGGGGTGGGACTTGCTGCCTGCTTGGTCATGGGATTCCCTGCTTTCCACAATAAGATCAGAGCTAACTTTTTTTTACTATAATCTTGGTACTACATCCTATGTCCTTCACACAAATTATCCCCATTTAGTTTTCAGCACCAACTGCCTATAGTCTAGACCACAAGGCCCGCGGGCCAAATCCATCCCGCCAGGCCTTGCAATGTGGCCCGCGCTGTCATCACTGCACTCCGCTGCGTTTCCATCACAATGACAGTTTATGACTGTTCAGTAAACCATCGGCCCGCGATTTAGGCTGGATTTTAGATTTTGGCTCCTTCTCTGATTGAGTTCGACACCCCTAGTCTAGACAGTAGATTTATATTTGAGTAAACTGAGGCTTGATAAAGTTAAACTCTTACCCAAAGTCAAACAGACCTGAATGCGGACAGTCGACTTCACAGCCTCTCAGGAAACCATGACTGGCCATAACATCTTCCCCTTCTCATTAAGTGGCACAAGCTCCTTCCAGTTGTTCAAGCCAAAAACCTGGACTCCTCTCTTTTTTGCCATCTCACACCCCTTATGCATTCATCAGCAAATCCAGTTGGCCTGACCTTCAAATTATATTGAAGTTCTGATCACTGCTCACTACTTCTACCACACTTCCACCCTCATACAAACCACCACCATCGGCCCAGCTTCCTGTCTCGTGGCCCCGCCTTTGCTTGCAGAGTGAAAACAGGGACTTTGGTTTGTTCACACAGTATGCCTAACCTATAGTTCAGTGCCGAACACATGGCAGACACTCAATAAATATTTGTTAACGAACAAATGAATGAATGACCAACATCTGTCTCAGGAAATGACTCAGATTGAAAGGGGAAGATCTGTCTTGGCTTCCACAGCCCTCATGACCTTCGGTAGCTGCAAGGCAGTGTAGTCAATGTCCTTTACTATTATCAACTGTCCTGGGTGTATACATATGCCATCACCACTGAGTCATCCGCTTGTGCCTGCATGCACACACACACACACACACAGCACACGTGTGTGTGTGTGTGCGCGCGCGGAGCTGGAACAGGGTCGCTTCTGAGAAGAAATGAGCCCAGGGCACTAATTTTTAGGGAACTGTCCTCTGCCTGTCCCTGCATTGTATTCACTTTGGTTTTATTCTCATGAATAAAGAGTCACTGGAGGGTTCTGAACTGAAGAATGACAGGCTCTGCCTTCTATTTTAGAAGGATCACTGGTTGCTACTATGTGAATTTGAAGGGGGCAAAGACTGGGCTAGTTCCCTTGACGAATAAGAAACAGCATTGGTACATATTGAGGACTTTACTCAGCAATTTTCACTGTCAATATGGCACCTCACTAACTCTCAAGAGTCCTGTGAGGTGGGTTCTAGCAATAGCCACACTTTACTAAGAAGAAAACCCATGAGGTTCTGAGTAGTAAAGTCATTTATCAAAGATGACACAGCAGAATGTCAGCATCCAAAGTTTATCCTCTTTACACATGAATAGGCTGCTCCAGCCAGCATCCATCCATAGCCTATTTAGGCTCCAAAACCCAGTTCCAAGTTCACCTTTTCCAGGAAGCCTTCCCTAATGGGCTGTCCCCTCTTTTTTTTTCTTTTTCTTTAAAAAAAAAAATAAAAAAAATAAAAATATATATATATATATAGATAGATAGATATAGATAGATAGATATATAGATATATATTTAATTGATTTTTTTACAGAGAGGAAGAGAGGGATAGAAAATTAAAAACATCGATGAGAGAGAAACATCGATCAGCTAGCTGCCTCTCGCACCCCCCTCTCCCCCCCCCGCACTGGGGGTGGGCCCACAACCAGGGTACATGCCCTTGACCGGAATCGAACTCAGGACCTTTCAGTCCGCAGGCCGATGCTCTATCCACTGAGCCAAACCGGTTTCGGCTGTCCCCTCTTTTGAGAACCTATCTACAGGGCCATAATTCACTGAGTGTTCCCTGGGTGCTGGGCACACTGCTGAATGCTTTATATAATGTGTAATATTCCAATAACCTAAGGAGCCACATACCTTGATAATATCCATTCTTCATATGAACAGTGGAGCTGAGAGAAGCAAAACCACAGAGCAAATAAGCTGTCTATTGTCCTACTCACCTGGCACTGAGCCATCTTTTTATTACTTTCTTTTGATTTTCTTTCTTTTTCTTTTTTAATGTATTCCACTTTTTAAAAATATATATATTTTATTGATTTTTTACAGAGAGGAAATGAGAGAGATAGAGAACTAGAAATGTCGATGAAAGAGAAACATCTACCAGCTGCCTCTTGCACACCCTCCACCGGGGATGTGCCCACAACCAAGGCACATGCCCTTGACCGGAATCGAACCCAGGAACTTTCAGTCCTCGGACCGACGCTCTACCGCTGAGCCAAACCAGCTTTGGCGTATTCCACTTTTTTTTTTTAAACGTATTCCACATGTTTTTATTGATTTCAGAGAGGAAGGGAGAGAAACATCAATAAAAATCATTGACCAGCTGCCTCCTGCATGCCCAACTGGGGATTGAGCCCACAACCTGAGCATGTGCCCTTGACTGGATTAGAATCTGGGACCCTTCAGTCCGCAGTCCGACGCTCTATCCCCTGAGCCAAACCAGCTAGGGCGTATTTCACTTTCTTTTTTCTTTTCTTTTCAGTCATTGGGTCAACGGGGATATTCACTAGATCATAGTGTGGTGGCTGCTCTGCTCTGAAATCTGTCTTTTTGTCCTCCTGACCAAACTTTAAATGCCTTAACATCTAAGTCCACAAATAACATTTCGTTTGCCCATTCTACAGTGTTGGGCCCGAGCCTTGAACTTAAGGCAAATGAGATCAGAAGGATCAGGAGTTCTCCTGAGGTGGAGGAGAAGAATGGGGGCCCTCCTGTGAACCCACCTATTCCTTACGTTTTGAGGACAGCTTTCTCCAGGAAAATGCACCTTCTAGCTCTTTAAGAGCAGATGCACTGTTCCAACCAAGACCCAGTGGAGAGGTGAAATACCCGCACCCCAGCCTTGTTCCAAAGAGATGTGCGGAGTGGGAAGGAAGGGGCAAGACTTTCAGTTCCCGTTAATGTGTCTAGAAGCAACAGCTGATTCAGCTCGATGATGTCACCTTCCCAAACCTCCTGACCAGCAGCTGAGATGGTAAAAGCAGGAAATGGGGATACTCAGCTGGCTAAGTCCAAACATGCCTCCGGCAAAGGCCAACAGTAATAACTCCAGGTTCTGGAGTATCCTCAAGCAGACAAGCGTAAAGTCCTCAGTTGGGAGGACTGTAGGTGTCCTTTAAGACTCACATTCCAGAATGTGTTCCCAATTCTCCTTTTGCCGAGTAGCTTTCGGCATGTCCTGAACTAACAATGCTTCATTTATTCCGAGAGCTGAGCTGTGGAAAAAGCCTAGGTTTGGAGCCCGACCAATCTGGGTCTGAATCCAGATTCTACCATGGACCCTGGGCATGGGAACTTCATCTCTCTGAACCTGTTTCCTCATTGGAAAAGAAACTGGGGCCAACAGACCACTTACCACATAGACCAGGTGGGAGAATTAAATGAGAAAATTAATATGGAGTGCCTGCCATATCCCATGAAATGAAATGATTGTCACCATTATTCCCTTTGGATCTCTGGGAGGAAGGTGTGAAAGACGTCTTCATCCATAACACAAAGGGACACAACGGCCCAGACCGAGCCCAATGAGCATCAGTTGAGTATCTGCGTGTGGGTCCAAAGCTCAGATGAGCCACGTTCAGTCTCACCTTGCTTTTCTGTTTGTAAAATCTTTGCTTCAAATCTTCCCAGGCTGGCTTTCTCATTAATCTACTCTCAGGTCAAATGTCATCTCCTTCGAGAGGCGTTCCTTGACCTCCCTGTATAAAGTTGCTTCCCTAGACACTCCGTCACTGTTTCATTTTCTTTACATCATTTAACCTCCTATCTGAAATCATCTTATTTGTTTGTTTCTCAGGCTGGCTGTCTCCCCCAGTAATATGAAAGTAGTGTCCTTAACTGTCTCATTCTTCACAATAGCCCTGACACTTAGCACAGGACCTGGCATGTAGTATATTCAATCAGCAGTTGGGAATGCACGTACATGGAGGGCCAACTGAAGTTATACGTGGACTTTCTACACGCAAGGAGGTCAGAGCTCCTGATCCCCTGCACTGTTCAAGGATCAGCTGTAGCTGGTGCTCAATCAACATCTGCTAAGTCACCAAATGAATGCACAGGGGCTGGCCAAAGGCTAAACTGACAGTGGCCCCATACTCACTCCTCTGCTCACTGTCAGTTCAAAGTCCTGGCTCCCATTTCAGGTGCTGGCACTGCTATCTGGGAATCAGTGGACTGACAGGTGGCCAGGATGGGCATCCGTACCTGGCAATGACTCATCTACTGGGATACCAGGACTCCCAAGGAAGGCCTTGGAATCTTTCCCTGGCATTTGAGGTTCCCACAAATCTGCTCCAGCTGACTTTTCTGGTTTTATTATCTTAAATAAGAGAGACCCTTCCACACATGTCTCATATTGACTGCCACTGCTTTATGGGTTTCTTCTTGAGTCCATCCCAGCCTGCACATCTTTTTTTTTTTTTTTTTTTTTAATTTTTTAAAATTAAATTATTATCTGTGTACATATTTTACCATTGCCCCCCCTGCTTCCCCCCGCCCCCCAGCCTGCACATCTTAGCTCTTGCAGACCTCCCTTTTCCCAGCTTGCAGGGAGCACCAGCCCCTCTTAACCCTGTCTCTGTGATTAAGTCCCAACACAAATCTCTCGCTTCTTCTAGTAAATACTTCTCTTATTTGGCACTTAGCATTTATTGTTATCTTTCACAAAATCTTTTTTAAAAATATATATTTTATTGATTTTGTACAGAGAGGAAGGGAGAGAGTTAGAAACATCGATGAGAGAGAAACATCGATCAGCTGTCTCTTGCACACCCCCTACTGGGGATATGCCCACAACCAAGGTACATGCCCTTGACCAGAATCGAACCCGGGACCTTTCAGTCCCCAAGCCGACGCTCTATCCATTGAGCCAAACCGGTCTTGGCCACAAAATCTCTTTTTATGTGTATTATCTTTTCTAATTCAATTGGAAGTTGAGCGCAGAACTGGATCTTCAATGGTCTTTATTAACATTTATTAATCTGTTAATAAATCTTCAGGGGAAAAGGCCCTCTTTGAAAAAAGCTGGCTGAGTTCAGAGAGGTTTGGAGAGTCAGGCTCCTCCCTGCTGGACTCGCCCCTCCTTTGGTAGACAAGGAGGAAGAGGAGATCATACTGTCTCAGTCCAGGAGCCCAGCTGATGAGGCAGTGAGGGAACCAACAAATCTGGCACTATCACACGCCTGGGACAATCCCCAGGTCATGTGTGTGACTGGGTTTTTGAGAAACTATCATTTTCAAGAATCTGGGCATAACTTAGTTATCAATCATAAAGAATAGTAGAAAGGCTTTGCTCAGTTCAAAGGGATTTGTGTGGTATCCATTTTTGTAAACTAAGCTCTGGTTCCTGTCCTCCCCTTTCACTTGACTCCCTCTAGATATTTTATCCTATTGGTTCTATACTTTGGTTTATTCTATCATTCTGGAACTTTTCTAGGTTGCCTCCAACTCTTTGTAAACAGTTGGTCCAGTTTTCTTTAAAACGTTACAATGGTGTACAAAAATTATTTTCCAAATGACTTTATAACAATGAAAGGTAAATGACAAAAATAATACACGAAAAGCCTTCAGTATAGTGCTTGGCATTCAAAAATAAGGGGGGAAAAACACTGTCAATTCTTACTAGCGTCTCTTCTCTAGGCCTCAGTTTTCTCATGTGTAAATGAAAACAATGTCTTAGGTTTGTTCATTTGTTCATCCATTCATTCCAAATTCATTCATTGAATGTTTACTATCTGCAAGGAACAGTTCTAGGCATTAAAGATGAAATGATGAACAAACTAAAGTTCTTAATATCATGGAGTGTATATCCTATCAGAAGAGACA